CTCGGAAATATCTGCTAGGGCAATTGGGAATTTCATTGGAGAATACATATCCATTGACAAAGAAGCATTCAATGGATGGTGGAAATCCTTTATCCGCATCAGAGTCCGCATCAATATCATGAAACCCCTGTCAGCCAAATGCGCATAAGAAAGAACGGTGGGGATTGGAGCTGGATCAATTTTCGCTACGAGAGATTGCCCAATTTCTGCTTTACGTGCGGCTTAATCGGGCACGCTGAGATGTTTTGTTCGAAACCCTTTGATGACCCAAATTCCTCCTCAGAGAAGCAATTCGGCACCTCTACACGTCCCCAACCAGAGACCGTCGCCGGTGATAGGGAATAGGTGGGTGGTATTGTCGGAGCAGTCTGATCGCAAAACGGCAACAAATCCGTTCTGCCAGAGTGAGGACGTCGTGGATGGTACATGCGCACAATCCGGTTAGAATCACAAGGATGCACAGGGTACGTCATGTCCTTTAGCCCAACATGTGGCCTCCGATTCTGGTACGCATTCTATGCCCTACGGCACAGTAAGTAACAACGTTAATATGGAGCAGTATGACAACCAAACGGTATCTGATGGGCTGGAAATTTTGGATCCCAAACGTAGACGCACTGAATCATCTGGGCTTTCCATGGAGCCCACCTCCACCTTCATTGATCTTAATGGGCCAGATTTCTGTCCAAAAAACTTGCTAAGGGTTGGACCTGTCTTGCAGGCCAGCCCAGAACAATGAGTATCTTGTCTTGGAACTGTTGCGGGCTTGGGAATCCATCGACAGTTCAGTTCTTAGTGGACTTGGTCCACTCAAAGAAGCCGAATGTTGTTTTCTTGGTTGAAACTTTTGCATGCCCTAATAAACTTAACCCAATTAAGCTTAAATTGGGATATCACAGACTCTTTTGCGTTAGGAATGATGGACACAGCGGTGGCTTGACACTCTTATGGAAGGAAGGAACTTCAGTCTCTATTATGTCTTACTCCAAGCATCATATCGATACCACTATTTCCCTCAACTCTGAAGAAACAGAATGGCGATTCACAGGGTTCTATGGGCCGGGACTCCAGACAAAAATCGAAGGCATGAATCTTGGTCTATCCTTAAGCACCTATCTACCAGCAGCCCCCTACCTTGGGCAGTCATAGGAGACTTCAACAATATACTTCACTTCACCAGGATGAAAAACGAGGGGGCAACCCTCAACCTACGCTCCTGATAACTGGGTTCCGTGAGGTAGTTGAATCCAGTGGATTAAGGGATTTTGGCTTTAATGGTTATCAATTCATCTGGGAGAGTTCCAAAGGCACCCCGCTTTGGGTTGAAGCTAAACTCGATAGGATTCTTGTCACTGACTCCTGGTGCAACCTCTTCCCGAATGCAAAGGCCGTTTCCATAACAACTGCGAAGAGTGATCATATGCCGTTGCATTTACAGATTCTGCCACCGCTTACTCCTAATCCAAGAGCCGGCTTCTGTTTTGAAAATATTTGGTTACGTGAAGCTCACTGCAGAGATATTATGGTTGAAAGTTGGTCTAGGACTCACAACCAATGCCTGGGTGGGTAGCTGTGGTAAAGCCATTTGGATTTGGGGAAAACATTTTGCCCGTAATTTTCAACGGCGGCTTGACTATTGGTGTAGACGTATGGAGGCAACAAAGCACAGGAGCGACCACAACGGCATATCTATATTCAGAGAAGCTCAATTTGAATATCTTCGGGTCCTTCAGCAACAAATCGATTATTGGAGACAACGGGCGAAGCAATTTTGGCTTAAAGACGGGGATAGAAACTCAAACTTCTTCTACAAATCTGTCAAGCGTAGGTCGCATACCAATCGCCTTACAAAGCTTAAAGATAACACTGGAGCCTAGATTGAACGAGGTACGCAACTGGACTCCTTAATTACCCAATATTTTCAGAATCTTTTCTGTCCTGATTTGGGTAATTTTTATTCTGTGATTAATTGCATTGAGGCTATTATCACTAATGTGCAAAATACCACCATGAGTAGAATGGTGTCCGCCCAAGAGGTTAAAGATGCATTATTTGACATGAAGGTTGAGAAATCACCTGGCCCAGACGGCCTGAACCTGGGGGTTTTCCAACATTTTTGGGACATTCTTTGCAGTGAACTTCTCACATTCTGTTTTGATTTTCTTTTTTTTTAACCGGTCAGCTGCCTGCTAATATTAATTCGACCCACATTGTGTTAATTCCCAACAAAAGCAAACTAGAGTGCATGGGAGACCTTAGACCTATTGCTCTATGCAATACCCTTTACAAGCTCCTCTCTAAGATCCTAGAAAACCGTATCAAACCGCTTCTCTCCACTGTTGTGTCTGAATCCCAATTTACTTTTGTCGCTGGCCGCTTAATCTCATATAACATCATGATTGCTTATGAAATTAACCACTAACTCAAGAGAAAGAGTCAAGGCAAGGTGAGTTATGTTGGTGTCAAACTTGACATGAGTAATGCTTTTGATAGAGTTAACTGGGATTTCCTTCTGTTGGTATTATCCAAATTGGGTTTTTCTAGCCACATTGTGAATCTAATCCGGGAAATGGTCTCCCCTGTGAATTACACTATCCTTCTTGAGGGTTGATCCATTGGAACTGTCTTGCCTAAAAGGGGTCTTAGAGAAGGTGATCCAATGTCACCTTATATCTTTATCCTTAATCTTGAGGTCTTTCACTTAATGCTCCAAAATCTGCATAGAGAGGGTACTCTTCATGGTGTTGCTATTGCCAGAGGTGCACCCACAATCACCAATCTCTTCTTTGATGATGACTGCTACATCTTCTATAAAACCACCAACTTTGAGGCCAACACTCTTAAGAATGCAATTGAGTCATTTGCGTTAGCCTCAGGTCAAACTGTCAACTACTCAAAGTCCATCCTTACTTTTAGCAAAAACACAAATGGGAACCTTAAAGAGGATTTTTGTAATATCATGGGTATGAGGGAAGGAAATATAAATGGGAATTATCTTGGCCTACCTTCTCTTATTGGCCGTAATAAGCGTGAGATTCTTGGTGTCATTAAAGACAAAGTGGTGGGGAGAATTAAAAGCTGGACTCAGGTTATTTTCTCGAGCCGGGAGGGAAATCTTACTCAAAAATGTTATTCAAGCCATTCCAACCTTTGCTATGAGTGGTTTTCTTCTTCCTATTGATCTGGGCTTAGAAATTGAAATAATTATGAACAGTTTTTGGTTGGGTTGTGAGGGTGAAAGATCTAGAGGAATCAGATGAAAGAGTTGGGAAAGACTTTGTGTGCCAAAAAGTTATGGTGGTATGGGTTTCAGAAGATTACCGGAATTTAATATTACTATGATAGGCAAGCAGGCCTGGCGGCTTGTCAACCACCCTAATTCCTTATTGGCTAGAACATACAAAGCAAAGTACTATGCTAATACCAGTTTCTTTGATGCAAATTTGGGTAACAATCCCTCCTTTAATGTTGTAGATAGAGAGTTGGAGATGGGGAATCCATCAATGTGTAGAGAAACCCTTGGCTGCCAAACAATCAATGTCCTTATGTTCAACCACCAAGCTCCACTCACACAAATATTGTGAAGGTGGCTGATCTAATGATTCCTAACACCTCCTCTTGGAATGAAACTCTTATCAATTCCCTCTTTGAGCATGATGACCGGATATTGATTAAAAGCATTCCCCTCTTAGGTACAAAAACAAGTGATAAAATTATATGGTTTGAGGATGACAAGGGAATTTATACGGTTAAAAGCTGCTATAAAACTCTTATGGGAAATATGCAATCTGGTCAAACTCTAATCTGGACGAAATTCTGGAAACTTAAAGCTTCCCCCAAAAATTAAAACATTTTTCTGGCAGCTATGCTCCTCCTCTCTGCTGACCCATGATCGTCTGAAAACAAAGAATGTCCAAGTCCCAGATGTATGCCAGTTGTGTACCTATGAGGAGGAATCTCCATTTCATCTATTTTTGAGATGCCCTCTAGCAAGAAACTGTTGGGACACCATTGGTGGAATTGAATACTTCTCTAGCTCCACTCTATCTGAATAACTCGAGCTTCTTTTCTCAACCAAATTTGATCATGATTTATGTGTTATTATCTCTATTTGTTAGAAGATTTGGGATGCAAGAAATGAAAATATTTAGAATCAGTCCATCTTATCGCCGTCCTTTATCTGACACTTTGCACAAAATTTTCTATCTGAATGATCTTCTATTAATGCTACTATTAATACTGCTGCCAAGTCTTCACACGAGAGTGCTTGCTTGGTCCAGACCCCCACCGGGAATCCTCAAGCTTAACGTTGACGCAACTCTTGATCATAGCAAGATGGGATTCGGTTTTGTCCTCCATGATTTTACAAGCAATCTTATAGCAGCGAGGCATCTACCTTGGTGCAGTGCTTATAAACCAACAGAGGCATAAGCCATTGGAATTCGGGAGGCCTCGAATTGAAGTGAATTAAAGATCAACATGTTGACAACATTCAAGTGGAGAGTGACTGTCTACAAGCTATTAATGACATTCATCATTCTTATGACTCTATTTCATACTTTGATCTCATACTTGATGATATTAGATACATAGCTTCTAGTTTCACAAACTTAAACTTTTTGTTGGCTAAACGGTCTGCGAACAAGGTTGCTCATTGTCTAGCTAGGGACGCCTTGTCGATGTCTGACTGTATGGACTGTCTTTCTATCTCGTTTCCCTCCATTGCTCACGTTTTGAGCTTAGATATTATTTAATGATATATATTTCTCGTTTAAAAAAAAAAAAATATATTTCCGACCACTAAAATAAGGTCAATGCATCTTCCAACCAACGACCTTTTTCCGACCACTTAATAATTTTGGACGCTATTTATGACCGCTTCATTAGGTGGTCGGAAATAGCGATTGAGCTTTTTGCGGATGCTTAAGTGGACACTATTTAAAATATTGTTAAAATAGTTATGAATATCTTGATATTTAACAATTTAAGAGATGACAATATACATAAAAATAAGTCAATATATAATAACACCAAGTCTAAAACTAGGTTTATGGTTAGACTTACATAATAAGGATTAAAGAGAGAGAGAGAGAGAGAGAGAGAGAGAGAGAGAGAGAGAGAGATAAACAAAACTAAAATTACACAAGAATTATCATAAAGAAGATGACGGTAAGGAGGAAGGTTGTAAAGCCCATCCATGAGCCTCGATAGGTAGTGTGGTATACATTTCATTAGTGTAGTAAAGCACACATGGGCTTTCATGGTTGTGCACTCCTTCATACGTTGCAATTATGTATCTTGAATCCTCTCTGTCCCTTTCCACCCTCTTCTTCACACTGCATCCTCCACTAGAACATTTGTAATAGTTCCTATTCAAAATGTCACAATATAATTTCTATCAATATGGGTTGAATTTTAAATTTTTGTTTCAGTGAATAAATTAAAATTACTAGTTTTACCAATGTTGCAAAATACGTTAGGTGCTCCCTAGGCGCTCGCTTAATTATTATTATTATTATTATTATTATTATTATTATTATATTTTAATTTTTTTTAATTTTCTTATAAAACTAAAAATTATAAAAATTTACTAAGGTTCCCAAAGTTTTTTCTTAAAAACTATTTATTTAAGTGGCTATAAAATTGTTCAAAATATTGTTGAAATCATCTAAACACATCAAAAACTAAAATTAAGACCAAAAGAAGCATTATTTTGAGAAATTGGACGGCCAAACCGCCGCCTGGCCGTGGAGGAGGCCGATTCCGGCCTTCCTCACCGCGGCCAGGCGACGCCTAGTGCCTAGGCGCGATTTTTGCAACACTGGTTTTTACTATTTAAAGTTTTATATAAAGGAGAATCATACTTTTGGTTCTTTAATTGTCCTCAAATTACAAATGTAATCACAATCATTAAATTGTTGTAATCTAATCCTTCAATTGTTGACATAGTCACAAATTTAATCATTCATTTAAAGTACTAGATTTGCAACTAGGTTAGTAATTAAAGAACTAGATTTGGAACTAAGTTAGCAATTAATGAACTAGATTTGCAACCAGATTAATAACTAAAGGACTAGATTTACAACAAGTTAAAAATAGGATTAGATATACAACACAATTAGGCAAACGATATAATCGAAAATGATAATGAAAATTCTCTCTCTAGAATTCTAGGGTTTTCTTTCATCTACTAGGTTTCTCCTAGGTTTTCATTGGTTTCTCTACGGCGTTCTTGGCTGACTTACTGCTGCGGATACATACTGCTGTGCGGAGAAGCTAGAAGCGCTGGACTGTGGAGGTTGATGGCGTCGGTGTCCGCTCAAGAGGAGGTGGATGTGGTAACGAAAAGCTGGGCTGATATGATTTTATAGGAGGAGGAGGCTGGTTTCTCACCGGCGTTGGATGAGGAGGACATTGCTACGGTCGCTGGAAAGCAGGTTTGGACCTTGGTAGGCCGCTTCATGACGCGAAAGCTTATAAAGGTGGAATTCATGCGTGAGGTTCTGGCGTTCGTATGGCAACCTATGCAGGGTGTCCAAGTAACAGAGATTCAACCGCGTTTGTTCCTATTCGTCTTTTTTCATAAAACGGACATGGAGCGTGTACTAGATGATGGTCCTTGGGCCTATGATAATGCACCCTAGTCTGTCGCCAAGTTGCGGATGGTGTGCTCCCGGAGGATGTGTTTTTGGATACGGTGGATATGTGGGTGCAGGTGCATGGATTACCAATGGGGCATACATCAGGCAAAATTATTGAGCAGGTTGGTAATGATCTTGGTACTTTTGTTAAGGGGGATGACCATTTTGTGAATGTTCTGTAGCGAGCATTCTATCGTATTCGTGTGGCTATTCCTGTTGAAAAACCACTTAAAAGGCGTATGAAGTTTGTTAAGCGAGATAAGTCAACATGTTGGGTATTGTTTAAATATGAGCGGTCTCCATAATTTCTGCTTTTATTGTGGACTACTTGGGCATCTCTATAAGTTCTGTATACATGCCAGGAATGCAACTATCCCGGTTGCGGAGTATCCTTTTTTGGCGGAGATGAGGGCGGGTTCACGCCGTGGTCCGAGGGCGGTGGGGGAGGGTTGGCTTGTGCCGGGGGAGGGAGGGGTGGCGGAGGTTGGTGTTGGGCACGGTGGATCTGGTTATCTGCCGCATGTGGTACGAAAAACACAAGAGGTACACTGTGAGGCCGAGATGGTGGTGGAGGCGGTCGCTAAACGACGTCGTGAGGAGACGAATGATGATGTTACTATGGTTAATTTGTCAAAAAACTTGTTTATGGCGGGTGCTGGTTCCCAGGCCCGCCCGTCATCATGAGTACCTTAAGTTGGAACTGTCGTGGCTTAGGTAATCCACGAACAGTTTCGAGAAGTTGAGGACATGGTGTCCCGTAAGAAACCCATTTTTTGTATTTTTAATGGAAACCAAGGTTGGTCAGGATCACGCAGAACGACTCCGGATCAAACTTGGTTTTGATGGTTTTTTTTATGTTGACAATACTGGATTAGGTGGCGGATTGGCATTATTATGGAAAATAAATAATACGGCTCGGTTGTTGAGTTACTCAAACAATCATGTATATGTGGAGGTAACTATGCCTGGTTTTGATAAGTGGAGAATGACAGGATATTATGGTTTTCCTCAGCGAACAAGGCGGAATGACTCGTGGGATCTCATCAAATCATTATCTCACAGGTCCGATCTGCCCTGGGTTCTCATAGGTGATTTTAATGATCTTCTATTTCAGCATGAGAAACGAGGAGGGAACCCACATCCAGATGCACTCTTGCGTGGCTTTGGAGAAACGATTGATGATTGTGGATTATTTCAGTTGCCTATAGTGGGTTATCCGTATACATGGGAAATAGGGCCAGGGACGGCGAACTGGATTGAAGAGAGGTTGGATAAGGTGTTAGTTACTCAGGGGTGGCATGATATGGTAAGAGAAGCAAGTGTTTTGAATATTTTAACCCGAAAGTCGGATCATTCTGCTCTTTTCCTTGGGATTCTGAATCCTCGGGGGAGGAGGGATGGACGAAAAAGAGGGTTCCGCTTTGAGATGGCTTGGCTTCATGATGAGGGATGCAAGGGGGTGGTGGAAAAAACGTGGGACCAAGAAAGGCATAGGGGGTTGCACGAGTGTATTGATTTATGTGGAAATAACTTAAAACGATGGGGATGCGACCATTTCCATAAATTTGGTGAGCAGGCTATGAATCTCCGGAAAAAACAACTACGGTTGCGAGGATGCATAGATCAGGCATCATTAGTTGAGTTCCAGCGACTGGAAGAGTGCCTCACTCGTATTGAGGCCCAGGAGGATACATACTGGAGGCAGAGAGCTAAGCAACACTAGCCCAAGGGTGCAGATGCAAACACCCATTCTATCACAGGTATGCTTCTCATCGTAAAAAGAAGAATACTATGTCTAAAATTATGAATAATGAAGGGGATTGGGTGGAAGGGGAGGCTATGAGAACTGTTATTCTGGACTATTATCGTAATATTTTTAGTTCTGGCCAGTCTGGGAATGATGAAATTTTTTTTGAGAATGTTTTGCCCGAGTAACACAGACACAGAATGATGAGTTTTTGCGCCCGTTTGAGGTGGCAGAGGTGAAAGTGGCGTTATCTGCCATGTTCCCGGATAAAGCACCAGTGTAACACCCCGTGTTACGGCCTTCAATCCCGGATTAATTATTTAATTAATCCCGTTAATAATAATTAAATATGATTTAATTTGGTTAGGTTTCCCTTTAATTAATTAATGAGGTCCACCATGAACCGTGGACCCTTGCCTAAATGAGAGTCTTAGGCCTATTAGGAATAAAGGAAGTAGGCCTTTTACTATTCAGATTATGATTAGGCTTCTCTTTAATTAATTAATATGGTCCACTATGGACCCTTATCCCTAAAACAAGTCCTTAGTCCTATAAGGAATAGAATTAGTAAACCCATACCATTCAGGCCCTAATTAGGAGTCTTAAATATATAAATAGGGATATAGAAGGCACCTAGATCTTTCACCACAATAATCTCTCACCACACAAGAAGTTCCAAGAATCCCCTTAGGAGAAATCAAGAAAGAAGAAAGCTTAAAGAAAGACCCTTCATAGCCAAGGAATTAATTAAGGCTAAGAGGTAACCCATGTCTCAACAAAACCTATTTTCTTCGCTATAATCTCCTTCCTTGGCCTCCCTCTATATTCTTGTGTCTTGATTGAATTCTTCTACGATAATTATGTTATGTTCTTGATGATTGATAAGATGATTTATATGCTTTCTTGATAATCTTGATGATCTTAATGTTAAGAAGAAGTTCTTGATTATGATATGATGATTCTTGACGAATCTTGATATTTTCTTGATGTTAAAGATTAAATATGTTCTTGATGATCTGGGTGGGATTAGAGCCCTAGGTTGGATTGGGAATTTGTATTATGATGTTCTCGATTTGTATTTGGGTGGGAATTCGCATGTTCGGGTGTTGTTTACATTTAGAAGTCATAATAGGATAAGTCCTACATGATCCTTGCTTTTGATCCGTTAATTGCTTACGTGGAGTCGTTATTTGCGTTTAAAAGTGTCTAAGCATGGTTTCGGGTTCCACAAAGGTCCCCGGGACGAATATATGAGAAAAGAGTCAGTGGGGGGTAGGTGGGGGTGGGGGAACCCACCACCTACCCGTTGCCCAAAGAGGCGCTGCCCGGCAGCGGGCAGCCACCGGGCAGCCGGCTACCCGCTGCCCGGAACAGCGCCCACCGGCGGGCAGCCGGCGGGTGACCCCCACCCACCGGCTACCCGCTGGTCCACACCCCACCCCGGGTCCCCGGGTTCCCCGTCTCCCATGGTGTCCCAACGGACCCCGTTTGTCGTGCCTGAGTCTAGTTTGGAATTTCGGGTACCATTCGTAGGTTAAACGAGTCTTAGGAATTGCATGCTAGTTGAATTGGTAACCCGTGGACCTAGGTGGAAGTTATATGAGCCCTTAAGAACTATTCTTAGTGTGTGAATGATCACATGTAAGCTTAATTATATGTCTCCCCCTTCCCTATGTGAATTATGTGTTATTATGTGCTATTGTGTGTTACGTGATGCATGACCCCAACTTGGTTAAGACCAATTGGGCTATACGGGCAGTTGAATGGGCTGAGAACCATCCCAACTGTTAACCAGGCCGGTTAAGATCGGTCAGGGATATTGATATGATATAGGATTGAGGTCCACTATACGGGCAGTTGAATGGGTTGAGAACCATCTCAACTGTTAACCAGGCTGGTAGAGACCTGTCAGGTATATAAAGATTATGTATAGGACTGAAGGTCCACATGGGCCTCGGTGATATGACCCACCGACCGGGAT